TTTGAGTTTTTTTTTAAATTTTATTTTAGCAATATGTATACTTAAAATGTGAATTGTTCATTCTATAAATGTCATCTCAATTAGTTGTGCTTTTTATTAGTCCACTAATTTTATTCCATCTTACAAGAAATTATGTTAATAAAGATACTAAAAAAACTGAATTGTTTTGAAATACAACCTTTATAATTCTATACATAAACTAGGCACACATTATAGATGCTATGTAGACATGAAGTGGCTCCCTCTTTTTTCCACATTCAGCTGAAAATCCCTGGACAGTTACTTATATTTCTTCACTGGATCACAATTACTACTACCCCTGAATTTTTTAGGGTTTCAGTCAGTCTAAAAGCATTCTAAACAGTGATCATACTACTGAATAACAGTTTAGGAATTGGACTAAATATCATAATGCTATAACAATGTGAAATTATGAATATTTGCTCTTTGTAAACGAGTTAAAATTATCCCACCCTCTTTGATCAAAATGACTGGTCGAATGTTTGAGCATTTGTCTGCTAATCTGAAAGTTGAGTGTGGCTCCTGGCTAGAGTTGTAGAACATCCTGTGTCTACCCAACTCTGACGGGTACCTGTCACACTGGGGACGATAAAGGAGAATGTGCATAGTGCTAACCACACTATCACTCCATATGCCAAGGTCACAAACAAGTGAACGCTACTTCTCTTGTTCAGTGGGCTGCCAGGTCTGAAAGGGAGCTTTACTAAGTTCAAAATAACTACCCAATCAATGCAATTCAGAGTTCATTAATTATTTGTTCAATGATTGTTGGGTTTATATGAATTGTAATCTGAATTTATACTAGCTAGGTAAAATAAGAGATAAAAACTGTACAGTATAAACCTTGGTTTGAACACAGGATGGTAAAATTTGCTCATACAGTGTGGGAAGATCTGTTCATACAAAAACAGCTCCAAGTAACATGGTTTTAATTGTTTATTGGCATAATAAAATGGCTTTTTATTCAAAGTAATTAATAAATTATGTAACATGTAATCAATTTGCCTAAAGTTTCTTGGGTTTTTCATACATCAATAACCAAGCATAAATGTATCAAAGGAATTTGCCTAAATGTGAAATGGAAGATAATTGTTACAAACTACAAAACGTTTATCGTTGAAAAAACATTTTTCTAATTGCAATTTTAGAAACTATGAAACCTTTTTACAAATCTTAAAATCCAGCAACAAATAAACAAAATGGAAGAAATGAATCCTAGCTATAAAAAGACCATAAACTAAAAGTGTTTTAAAATGAAAAGCAGTAAACATTTAAGCTAAAAGTATTTTTAAATTTAAAAAAAAAACCATTGCATTACTTTACCCTCAGCATTAAATGAACATATTTTGTGTGGGGGAAATTAGCCTGGATCATTTCAACAAATGCAGGCACACAGGTATTTTTTGTGTTGGTAGTTATACGGAAGGGGAGGGGGTGTTGCTAGTCTTCTATCCAACATGTTATGCATTAAGGATTGGACAGTATGTCATGTGAGCTAGGTGGTCCATTTCAGAAATTTTAAGCAATTTCTTAATAAGTTACATAATGAGGGGTGGGATAATAATTTGCCGTTTTAATGTTTAAGTCAGTTTTTTTACACAAAAATATTAATGGAAAGCAAGTGATTAACAAAGGTAAATTATAATTTATAACAAAATAAATAGTAACAATGGTTTAATAAAATAAATGTATAATATAATGCTATTGTTTAAATTGGTGTATACAGGTTTCAAATGCCACACATACAAGACAAGGTAAGTAGGTTAACAATACCATAAACAATACATTAAACCAATGGTTAATTGTCCCCTTATAAGAGAGTCACTGCAGCAGGTAGAGAGTTATGGTTTTCAGATGATTAATTCATTACACGATTTGGTGGTTGAGTTTGTTTAATTGTCTTTCTATTTAGATTATAAAAAGCTAGTAAAAGTTTCTGCCAACCAATATTGCACTAAACTGGCAAGACCAACATGTATTGTTTAAATAAATAGGGAATGATAACCTCTCAAGAAAAATGTTAAATAACTTCTATATTATAAGCATTAACTATTTTTTTCAAACATATATTTCTCGAATTCAAATATTATCTTAAATGAAAAAATACATATTACATATTAAAATGTGTAGTTTTTCACTTATATGTTAACATATATAAGGAAGCCCACTCACTTGAAAACTGTAAAAGTAAATTCTTTTTTAATTGAATTATAACTAATTAATCATACAAATTTAGTTATAAGTTTAATAACAGTTGTTCAAAAGTATAAAAACAATTCCTTGACAAGATAGATCTGACCTGATGTAAACTGTTGTCAACAAGTACTTTGTTCATGTAAACATCTACAACATTTAGGCAGCTTCAATTGCTATAGTCATATGACAAAAGAAAGAAATGATTACCAAAAATTTTTAAAGTATTGCCCCATCAGATAAATATATGTACACAATTTGTTTAACATTTAGTTTGATTTATCAACATAGATCCTGCAAACCAAGTTTATCCCAATGATTAAAGTTGACATGTTTTCTGACATGGGTTGATGTATCTAGGGACTGTATCCCCAAAGCTACACTAGTGTCAGTCTTCAATGTTCAGGAGATTTTATTTTACATCTTTAAATTTTTAGTGCAGTCACTAGTCATACTTTGAATTATTCATTTAGTAAATGTTTTTTGTTGCCTTATACTCAACTTGTCATAAACTTGCTAACTAACCCCCCCCCCCCCCCCCCCCCCCCTTCAACTTGGGACCATAGATGGAAGTTTTCTAGAAAAAATATTGTAATCTGTTTCTGAAATAGGCAGACTACCTTTATTAGCCACATCAAACATCAGCGCAATATGTAAAACAGCAGCATTAAGATTTTTATCAAATAGCAGTTGTAAAGTAACAGAAATTTGGAAATAAAAAGTGTAAGCTAATGGAAAAATGTAAGTTACTTAAAAAAAAATAGAAATTTAAAAAATAGAAAAATATTTGTAAGTTTATTGAAAAAAAAATGTTAGTTACTTTATAAAAAAAAAAGAAGCTACTTAAAATAATATGTTAAATTGTAAAAACAAAATGACCTTTAGAACAGGCTGAAATTAAATGTAAAACAGTGTAAAGTATTTGTTAGTTTTGAAATAAAATGATTCAAACATTACATGAATCACCAGCTGGAATAATTGACATGTATGTCATGTTTACTAGAAAGGATACTTTTCTAACAAAAAAAATAAAAAATAAAATTTGATTAAAATCAGATCTTTTCAGGAAAGATTTACACGTCAAATTTGTTCTACTAAATCAGTCACTCAATTATTTTTCCTCTACTAACACAAGAAATCTGTAGTTAGCAATCTGTGGCTGATCTATATACAATATCTACAACTAAATAAATTAAATGGAAGAAATATTCACTGTTTAGACTTGATATAGATAATTTTGGATTAAGATAATCTCCTGACTGAACATGGCCTGTTTTTTTTTCTTCTTTCTAATTAAATCAGGTATTGGAGACTTTTAGCCCATTCAATGATTAAGTATGCTTCTTTACATTAAATATAAGAACCTGTTACTCATTCATGAAGTGAGAAAATGTACATCCAACTGTAGATACTACATTAGAAAAAGTGTTAAGTGTACATTTCCTCAATACTTCAAATTCATAAGAAAACTAAAATAAACTTTCATTAAATATTTTTTAAAAAGTTGTACACAATGGCTGATTTAAAAATTTTTTTTGCAGACCTCTGAGTAAAATTTCAGCTACTTTATTTTGTTCTGGTTTAGTTAACAAATGCTGTGTAAAACAGTCAACACTTCAACAGAGGTTGATCACGTGGGAGAAAATGTGATCAAATATTTAGCAACATATAAAAACATAGTGGTTGAATAGTTCTTAAACAATTTAAATGTACATTTGATACATTTACTTCAACGTAAGTTAGTACCCATACAGACTCAAAATCACTAGTACGACTATGTCACTAATAACATTTTAACCCTTGCCCCAAATGTATGTTAGTACCTATATATAATGAAATCACTAATATGACTAGGTCACTAATAACATTTTAACCCGTGCCCCGAATGTATGTTAGTACCCAAATATAATCACAAGTACAACGATAATTTAGCTTTCAAGTTAGGCTGAGGTATTATGTAAGTGCTATAGCTATTACAGCAGAGAGAAATATACATGTAAGGTAAAGAAGCAAGAAGCTAAAGCATGCAATACATGTGATTATCAGAATTCAACTTTTAAAGTATTAAGCATTTATACTATGAAAAAAACAGTTGCATAAATTTAAGCAGGGCTACAAAATTAAGTTAACCCTTTACTGTCCAGCATTAAAACCATATTTATAGGGAAGCTAAATGTTGACACTATTTCCATCTACAGTGTTATTAAAAAGTTTATTAAAACAAAATATATTAAAGAATTAAAGTAAAAAGAAATAAACAGAATAATATTCTTAGTAATATTTTCATAATTTCCAGGTCAAAACTGTAGAAAATCAACCCCTAGTGAAAGAACTGAGAAACTATGTAAATAAATAGTTAGGGGGCAATCATGTGCATCAGACAGGATAACATGTGAAAAATCTCAGGACAGCAGAGGGTTAATTGGTATTTTGTTCACATTTTAAAATATAAAAAAAAACTTTCACATAAAAAAATTATTGAAAAAATAAAGCTATTGAAGATACCTTAAAATTATCAAAGTCTTAACATAATTTGTGTATAAGAAAAAAATTGTTGAAAAAAAATAAAACTATTAAGAAGACTTATCATTTCTTGTACATAAGAATAAAGGTTTGTTGAACTGGCCATTTTGGAAATATTTCGGAATCTCAATTTCAATAATATCACATTTCTTGAGATTTAATATTGCTGTACATGAACAATCTAAATCAACTGCTTCCATATTCACTGAACAGCTCGTAACATATTCAGATGTGCATTTTTTTTTGGGTGGGTTCATCAATACTTAGTTGAACAGGGGAGATGATCCTGGTGAAGTTCTGATGAAGGGCAGCAATGATGACAACCACTGGTGAATAAGGCAGTAACAAGGTTGGAACTCTATAACACCAGCCACATCACAATTCATCTCTGATCTGAAAATTGGGTAAAAATAGAAATACGAGATGTTAACAAGATTTCAAAAATTTAAAACAAATTTGTGGGATGATGATCAAGACACAGTTATTAATTTAAAAAAGAACAAGGTACCAAATTTTATTTAAAAACAAAAAACCATCGTTTTGGTAAAATAATTAACTTATAATTATAACAAGTATTTTCTAATGAGGCTGAAAGAAATAACAGTACCTGTTGTTTGTCTGGTACATTATTTTTGATATAGCGTACAATGTAATCAGCATTCTGGCTATCAACCTCCCAGCCATACGCGGACTGTAGGAAAATAAGTCAATGATGAGTTGCAGCCGTCTATTTATGGTTATTGGTAATTTCCTAATTAAATTACAAATCAATATGCAGAAACTGAACAACAAGACATGCAGTAACTCAGCCACCAGTCATGCAGTAACTCAGCCACCAGTCATGCAGTAACTCAGCCACCAGTCATGCAGTAACTCAGCAACAAGTCATGCAGTAACTCAGCAACAAGTCATGCAGTAACTCAGCCACCAGTCATGCAGTAACTCAGCCACCAGTCATGCAGTAACTGAGCCACCAGTCATGCAGTAACTCAGCCACCAGTCATGCAGTAACTCAGCAACAAGTCATGCAGTAACTCAGCCACCAGTCATGCAGTAACTCAGCCACCAGTCATGCAGTAACTTAGCCACCAGTCATGCAGTAACTCAGCCACCAGTCATGCAGTAACTCAGCCACCAGTCATGCAGTAACTCAGCCACCAGTCATGCAGTAACTCAGCCACCAGTCATGCAGTAACTCAGCCACCAGTCATGCAGTAACTCAGCCACCAGTCATGCAGTAACTCAGCCAGCAGTCATGCAGTAACTCAGCCACCAGTCATGCAGTAACTTAGCCACCAGTCATGCAGTAACTCAGCCACCAATCATGCAGTAACTCAGCCACCAGTAACTCAGCCACCAGTCATGCAGTAACTTAGCCACCAGTCATGCAGTAACTCAGCCAGCAGTCATGCAGTAACTCAGCCACCAGTCATGCAGTAACTCAGCCACCAGTCATGCAGTAACTCAGCCACCAGTCATGCAGTAACTCAGCCACCAGTCATGCAGTAACTCAGCCACCAGTCATGCAGTAACTCAGCCAGCAGTCATGCAGTAACTCAGCCACCAGTCATGCAGTAACTTAGCCACCAGTCATGCAGTAACTCAGCCAGCAGTCATGCAGTAACTCAGCCACCAATCATGCAGTAACTCAGCCACCAATCATGCAGTAACTCAGCCACCAGTAACTCAGCCACCAGTCATGCAGTAACTCAGCCACCAGTCATGCAGTAACTCAGCCACCAGTCATGCAGTAACTCAGCCACCAGTAACTTAGCCACCAGTCATGCAGTAACTCAGCCACCAGTCATGCAGTAACTCAGCCACCAGTCATGCAGTAACTCAGCCACCAGTCATGCAGTAACTCAGCCACCAGTCATGCAGTAACTCAGCCACAACTCATGCAGTAACTCAGCCACCAGTCATGCAGTAACTCAGCCACCAGTCATGCAGTAACTCAGCCACAACTCATGCAGTAACTCAGCCACCAGTCATGCAGTAACTCAGCCACCAGTCATGCAGTTACTCAGCCACCAGTCATGCAGTAACTCAGCCACCAGTCATGCAGTAACTCAGCCACCAGTCATGCAGTAACTCAGCCACAACTCATGCAGTAACTCAGCCACCAGTCATGCAGTAACTCAGCCACCAATCATGCAGTAACTCAGCCACCAGTCATGCAGTAACTTAGCCACCAGTCATGCAGTAACTCAGCCACCAGTCATGCAGTAACTCAGCCACCAGTCATGCAGTAACTCAGCCACCAGTCATGCAGTAACTCAGCCACCAGTAACTCAGCCACCAGTCATGCAGTAACTTAGCCACCAGTCATGCAGTAACTCAGCCACCAGTAACTCAGCCACCAGTCATGCAGTAACTTAGCCACCAGTCATGCAGTAACTCAGCCAGCAGTCATGCAGTAACTCAGCCACCAGTCATGCAGTAACTCAGCCACCAGTAACTCAGCCACCAGTCATGCAGTAACTTAGCCACCAGTCATGCAGTAACTCAGCCACCAGTCATGCAGTAACTCAGCCACCAGTCATGCAGTAACTTAGCCACCAGTCATGCAGTAACTCAGCCACCAGTCATGCAGTAACTCAGCCACCAGTAACTTAGCCACCAGTCATGCAGTAACTCAGCCACCAGTCATGCAGTAACTCAGCCACCAGTCATGCAGTAACTCAGCCACCAGTCATGCAGTAACTCAGCCACCAGTCATGCAGTAACTCAGCCACAACTCATGCAGTAACTCAGCCACCAGTCATGCAGTAACTCAGCCACCAATCATGCAGTAACTCAGCCACCAGTAACTCAGCCACCAGTCATGCAGTAACTCAGCCACCAGTCATACAGTAACTCAGCCACCAGTCATGCAGTAACTCAGCAACCAGTCATGCAGTAACTCAGCAACCAGTCATGCAGTAACTCAGCCACCAGTCATGCAGTAACTCAGCCACCAGTCATGCAGTAACTCAGCCACCAGTCATGCAGTAACTCAGCCACCAGTCATGCAGTAACTCAGCCACCAGTCATGCAGTAACTCAGCCACCAGTCATGCAGTAACTCAGCCACCAGTCATGCAGTAACTCAGCCACAACTCATGCAGTAACTCAGCCACCAGTCATGCAGTAACTCAGCCACCAATCATGCAGTAACTCAGCCACCAGTAACTCAGCCACCAGTCATGCAGTAACTCAGCCACCAGTCATGCAGTAACTCAGCCACCAGTCATGCAGTAACTCAGCATCAACTCATGCAGTAACTCAGCAAACAGCCATGCAGTAACTCAGCAACCAGCCATGCAGTAACTCAGCCACCAGTCATGCAGTAACTCAGCCACCAGTCATGCAGTAACTCAGCATCAACTCATGCAGTAACTCAGCAAACAGCCATGCAGTAACTCAGCCACCAGTCATGCAGTAACTCAGCCACCAGTCATGCAGTAACTCAGCAAACAGCCATGCAGTAACTCAGCCACCAGTCATGCAGTAATTCAGCCACCAGTCATGCAGAAACTCAGCCACCAGTCATGCAGTAACTCACCTGTCTATGATTAGCCGCCACACCTTGATAGAACCTAACAGATGGATAAGCCCTGACACTGGCCTGTTGACAGATGTCCCCCTCCTCATCACAGTTCACTTTGCCTGCTCTGGCAATGCCCTCAATTTGCTGGGGAAATTCATGAACATTTTTTTTTAAAGAACCCCTTCATTTTTAAACATAAACTCTCAGACTTTGGCATACAGGAGATAATTAATGGAACCTTCCAGTTAGATTTTCAATTCAATTATAACTACACTACAGGATGAAGATATTGGCAATGATTAGAAATTTAGGTATACTATAAATCAACCTTTAAGTATAAAAAATATGTTTTAGTGAAATAAGTGAAATATAATAAGTTTTGAACAAATCATTGAAATCAACACTCCTAAATGTAAAGGTGTGTTTTAAGAAATTAAAAACTCACTTCTGCTACTTTTTCAAATTCTGGTTTAAAAATCTGGCAATGACCACACCAGGGTGCATAGAAATCTACAATCCAAGGCTCCTGGCTGTCCAGAACTTTTTGTCTGAAGTTCCTTGATGTAAGGACCTCGACTTTACTAGGCAAATAGTTGAACAACCAGGACTGTATTGATGAGGCATCTCTACGCCATCCATTGTACATGCTGGTTTGAAAAATAATTATTTTTAAATATTATAACTATGGTAAATACATTTAAAATACGGGATGGGGTTGTCGAATGAACGCTCAACTGCTAGACCAAAAGTCTTGAGTTGGATCTCAATCTGGACTTATGACTGTACAACAACCTTGAGTCCATCTGATGGGAACCTGGATGGAGTTAGGAAAAGTAAAGGCAGCTGGGCATAGTGCCGACCACACCATCACTTCATATGCCGAGATCAAGAAACATAGGAACTCTACTTCATTTGCTCTATGGATCGTTACTTTTTGCTTATACATATACAACATATAATTTAATTTACATGTTCTTTAGAAAATGTAAAAATGAAAAGTAAATTTAGGTTATGTTTAGGGTTAGTTTCTATATCACATTAAGCAGTAGCACCACAAATGGATCAATACATAAGTAAGTGAAAAACAAGAAAGAAAAGCAAGAGCTCAAACTTACTAGTGTGTTCCTGATCTGGCAGAACCAATGGGATAAAGCCGTATGGTGGGGTAGGATCTGATATTTTGTGAGTTGCAGAGGTAGCTGTTAGCATCACAATCTACTTGGCCCACTAAAACTGTTTTTTTATCCTTCATCATCTGGGGAATGGAAAGGTAGAGATATAGATAATAAAACTCAACAGAAAACTGTGGATTAATATCACAAGTAATCATACTTTAACCCTGAAGCTGAATTTTGGGGTTCAAACTCAGCTATAAGTAATACTAGTTATATAAGAAGACATGGCCAGTTAAAGAAAAAAAAAATTATAGCATTAACAGATGTTCACAAAAATTCATTATGATTTAATTAAAAATTTTAACAGTGCATTAGGTAATGAGTGATTCACCATTACCTTGGCTAGCCTGCGCCATTCTGGGGACAACTGTTGACATGGACCGCACCAAGGTGCATAGAAATCAACCAACCAAATCTCTTCATCATCCTTGTTTAGTACCCTACTCTCAAAAGAGCTCTCATCAAGGACAATAACTGGTGGATTTATTGTGTCCTAAACAGGTAAAAAAATGAGACAGTTTATGAGCGAGCTGTTTAGAGAAATGAAATCACACAGAGCTAAATTACAAGAAATACTAATCAGGTAATTAAAGTCTTTAACTGACAGATAAACCAAAACAAGGTGCCTACCTGTATGAATTCAGCCAGGTGACTGGCACTGTGCTGCCCATGGTACTGGTGAGGTACACTTTGGTTGTATAAGATGGTGGTGGGGTATGAGCGTATGTTGTACTGCAACATACACATTCAGATGTTAGAGCTTTCAGTACATTATACTTTAATTGAGTACAAAGAAGATATCCATTCAAACTTAAAACATAGCCAACTAGATGGTTAATAATATCATTTGTATAAAAATTTATATTAATTAATAAACTATATGAATCAAGTAAAAAAAATCAAATAATAGCAAATTTTTAAAAACTTAAAATTTTTAAAAATAGTACGCAGTTGCTCAGATATTTTCCAGTTAAACCACAGTAGCATAATATGTACAGTTGATTATTATTTTTCACCTAATAAAGAAAGATGATATTATATTTATATAATCTTTAATAAATGTTCCCTCCGTCGTTTAAAAAAAAAACAACAACTTACTGTGTTACATAGTCCTCCATGCACAGTGCAATCAACGGTCCCAAAGTTGACAACAGACTTGTAAGCCTTGGATGTTTTTTTAAATTCTGGCAGCAGTCTCATGCATGGTGGGCACCACTGATCATTGACAAGAAAGAGAAAGCTACATTCAACCAAGAGACTATAATATCAGTGGAATCATAAACATAGTCACAGGTTAATAGGGGAGTGAAAGTCAACATTTAAAAAAAATTTACTAATACTGAAAAAACACAACTTTCCCCATGCTTTGATCATTAATTTTACTGGAAGACATATTTTTAGGTGTTTAAACTAAAATAAATTATGATACTGGGTTGAATTAGCTTACTGGTTTGTATGAAAATCTAAACAAAATTAACAATTTTATAACAATAGTTTATTGAAAAACAGTTGTCTTATAAATTATTTAAGTTTAAAAAAAATCTATCAACATAAAATATAAATTATATTTTTCTTATAGTAGTTATTTTTAACTCAACTAAGCAATGCAGGTGTTATTACAAGTTGTGATTTAAATTGATAGCATTAATTACAAGATGTAAAACACAGAACTCACTGGTGCGAAGAAGTCGACAAACCAAGGCTCTTTACTGTTGACCACTCGATCAGGGAAATCCTCCGGGCTCAGGTTTTCTAGTGGTGTGTCTGCACTGTCATGCACAAATGCTGCGATGTCATGTGCAGTGATGCGTCCTGGAAGTAAACATTTACACATTCAAATATTTGAACTAGATAGAACAGTGTGCTGCCTAGCTTTACGTTTACACATTCAAATATTTAAACTAGATATAAAAGTGTGCTGTAACCTAGCTTTACATTTACACATTCAAATATTTGAACTAGATAGAAAAGTGTGCTATAACCTAGCTTTAGATTTACACATTCAAATATTTAAACTAGATATAAAAGTGTGCTATAACCTAGCTTTAGATTTACACATTCAAATATTTAAACTAGATATAAAAGTGTGCTGTAACCTAGCTTTAGATTTATACATTCAAATATTTCAACTAGACAGAACAGTGTGTTGTAGCTTAGCTTTATCTGCCATAGTAAGAAACTTGTCTAGCAAAAGTGCTTTAATTATTAAAAAAATATGTTATATCTGTTGGTACATCTGTAGCCTTTTTATTTATTAGATGCAGTTAGTATTAGCTTTAACTCATGATTCATAAAAAATAAACCATTCTTTTTTTATTTTGCAATATTTAACTGTGAATGTAGCTTGTTAAATCTGTTATATTCAATAATGGAGTTTATATGAGAAACGTTATGAAAAATTTTACTGCTTGAAAAATCCAATGCTTAAACAACAAACTGAATCCCAAATGATCACCATAGTATCTTTCAGTGCCTCCCTTAAAAAACCCAATGCTTAAACAACATAAACTGAAGCTCAACTGACCACCATAGTATCTTTCAGTGCCTCCTGTGCTCTTAAACAACATAAACGTTGGGAACTTGGTCACATGAAGTTTTTGACAGGCCAGGCGGATAGTGGAGCAATCAGCACGGCCGACCTAGAAGTTTGGATAAAACAGATCATATAACATGTAACATCTAGTATAAGTAAAAGTTGAACGAAAACAAAATAACGAAACAATAATTCCTAATTTGGCAAATGCTATTTGAAGGGTAAAAGTAAAAACATTTTGAAAAAACAGCAATTGCTGCTATTCATTAAAAATTCACAACTAAATTTATTTTTGAACCTTGTAGTTCTTGACTAAAGTTGGCAGTTTTCTCAGCTCAAGATCTGGATTTCCTAGTCCATCAACAAAATGGATCAGCCATGTCTCTTCACGTTTTGTGTTAATCTCCTGTGTGTTTTGAAATGGTTAAGAGAAAAAAAATAGATTTTAAAACAGAAAGAACAAAAAAAAATGGTGATTTCAGTTTTTGTTTGAAAAAATTAATGGTAAAAACATTTTAGTTACATGTAAGGCATCTTGGCTAATCAACTCTACATCAGGAAGTTCTTGTAGCACTGTCCTGGCTATGTCCTTGGGATACAGACTAGCTATTACCTGCAAAACAAAGAATTTACTGTGAGTATATTAAGTACTGTAAGCACTTAAGTACATCATGAATAGCTAAACAACAATACCCTTTTATTTATGGTTCAACTAGTACTACATTGGTTAGGCTAAACCATGAACAACATCATTTTACATATGGTTTATCTAGTACAACATTGGTAAGGCTAAATCATGAATAGCTTGACAACAATATGATTTCCTTTATGGTTCATCTAGTACTACATTGGTTAGACTAAATCATGAACAGAGGCGTATCCAGGTTTTCGTTGTAGGGGGAGCGAAAAGAGCAAAAAAAGGCGCCGATTTTTTAACACGTTCAATATGCGTGTATTATATATATATATATATATATATATATATATATATATATATATATATATATATATATATAATTACTAGCTGTATGTCATTACTTCGCTATGATGTAAAATAAATTGAAAGTAGGACTCTCAAGAAATAAGAAAAAACGCACAATGTAGGCCGACAAAACAAAAATTGTATCAATCTAAATATATATATATATTTACACACACTACAACCAAAAACAATGAACATAATACAATCTGTTTTGTAATTCTTGTAAAAAAAATTCTTACTTAATAATTCCTAGGAATTTATTTAAGACAAGTGAACTAGGGGAAATAATCACTCTCTTAATATAAATATGTATATATATACATATTTAATTACAAATGTCAAAACAAATAAATAATTACTTTAGATTATAATGAAATTGTTTAACACTATTCGTTTTTACAAAATGTCTGTGTCTATAATCAGAATTTAATATATCGTCATCATAAATGCTAAAGTTTTACAGCATAATGAAAGTTTTAAAAAATCAGAGTTGGTATAAAACCACATTTGTCGATAAAACAGAAAAACATTCGGGATAACATCCTACATTTAACTACATGTTGGTCTTTTAGTTCAGATCATATATTTTTAATTAACTACTGCTTTTTTTGTGTTCTTTAAAGATCATTTTTACTTTCTCGTATATACGAAGTATAGAGAAAGTCTTGTAATCGTGCAAAAAAAAAAAATCGAGATTTTTGCAAATCTCGACGTTTTACATCTCACTGATACGGAAAAACATAATTTTGCAATCTTGTCCGTATGTCTGTGTGTCCGTGTGTGTGTGTGTATGTGTGTGTGTGTGTGTCCGTGTGTAAACACGATAACTTGAGTACCGTTACAGCTAGGTTGATGAAATTTCATATACAAGTATTATATCAAAATCGTAGATCCGTATCAACTTTTGAGCGATTTCGGATAACCGGAAGTGGTACTTTTTCTACTTTGAATTTTTCAAAAGCCTATAACTTGAGTACTATTTCAGATAGATAAATGAAATTTCACATGTAAGTAAAAGATCTAATTCTCTACCTTCTGTTAAATTTTGAGTAATTTCCGTTGACCGGAAGTAGTACTTTACGCTACTTCCGATTTCTCAAAAAACTAATGTAAATTTATAAAGTACTAATACTATTGCGCACTATTATACACACCTTTATTAGGCGTTCGCTTGGTGCGCAATTGTTTTTTACTGAGATTCTATTCTATTTTTAAAAGTTTCAGTATTTAAAATGGATTAAAGATCATAACTATATCCCCAGTTACCATCCCCTGTTGTTTTATATAAGAATATTCGAGAAAGTTTAGGGGAGATCACTACCGGTTTATTTAACATAGTGATAGATATGGGTTAGATCACTGTATTGATCTCAAACCTTTTTACTGGTACTTGCAAAAAAATATTCACAGAGTTTTACGTTTAAAAAGCTAATTTTCTGGCGGCATGGTACTTTGGTACATCATGATGCGTTTTTCTACATGTACTTAACAGATCAGTCAGCGGGTTGGGGGGGGGGGGGGGGGTGGGTTCAACTTCATTCACCACTGTCCCGTCACTTTAGGTCAATTACCCCACCCAGTGTTTTTAGATGACTGTTTTAAACACACATATATATTACACAAACATATATTACACAAATACATATTACATAAATAGATTTTAATAAGTAGCAGTGGTATTATGACAATATTTTTTTACAGAGGGGTCCATGGGGGAGGGGGGTTGTAACTGTTTCATATCATTTGTAATGGTAATCACTATGGCCCAAACTGTAAGAATACTACTACTTCATCGTGATGACGTTGTTGACCTTGTCAAAATGTCCCCACCACTACGCAGTTTGCTCATAAGTAAATTTAAATAGAGGTGCCACATCAGTTGTATTTGTTTCTGTATTGTAATTTTTAGAAATTAATCACACGATTCAAACTGTATATATAAAGTGTTAAAGTTTAAAAAGTTTCCAAAAAGGCGCCACTTTGCTGAAAATGGCTAGAGGGGGAGCGGCCGCTCCCCCTGCTCCCCCCCTGCGTACGCTACTGATCATGAATAGCTAGACAACAATACAATTTTATTTATGGTTCATCTAGTACAACAGTGGTGAGGCTAAGTCATGAATAGCAAGACATGAGTACCATGCCACTTTGCTTGTCAAATCTCTGGGACTTGTAGTAAACTGTGCCATGTTCTTGTCCTAACTTGGCACAGAGATCCTCACTAGAGTCGCAGTCAACCTTCCCAATATTCACCAAGTCTGACTGGAAATAAAATTGCACTTAAGTATTAGGGCTGCATTCAAATGATTCATAATTAACAGTTGTTAGAGTTAAGTATAGATCCATTCACTGGTAGATTAGTTATATTTCATTGGATTTTAGGAGAAATCACTGAAGTAAAGAATAACTTAAGCTCCTCGTTAATTTCAATATAATCAATTTCTACAGATAAGCAGCTCAAAACTTACCAACATGGCAGCCAATTTTATACAAGTCTTTTCTTCTAGACAATCTGGATGAATGTTGAGACATATTTTAATAAATTAACAATCTAAGATTGATCCTTGAACATATATTTTATAATTTTATTTTAAGAATATATGTATTTTCATTTGATTAAACTAAACAACTTTAATTTTAATCATAAACTAATTACAAAAGAAAAGTATTTCAGCAACACAACTTACCTCCCCCATCCCCACAAAATGTAATAAGCCAAGGGAGACCATTACTTTGTGTACCAACTAAAGTTTGAAAGTTACTTGATCTCAGAGTATAAAATTTAGCATTGACTCTCTGGAGGGCCTCTTGCACCAGAACATCTGTTGTTCGCTGACCGTGAAATTTCTCTTTCTAAAACAATAAGTTTTTACACATTAAGCGTTATGTTGCTGTAATTGTTGCAATTGTTATAGTATCAACAGAATAAAATTCTTACGTACATCAGGATAAAAGTACAGAGAAGGATATGAGTGGACGTTTTGCATCCGACATAACTGCCAATCATCCTCACAGTTAACAGCTCCAATACGGATGACACCTTCCAGCTCTCTAGCCACCTCACGCCACTGAAAGTTCAGATCATTATTTTAATTAACATCAATATTAATAAATTTCACTTAGCATAAAAGTTTTAAAGTTTTAGTAAGATTCATTTCATTAGCCGTATTGTTGAAAATACACCTGAATATTAACTGCTTGAATGGTTTAAGGGCTTTTTCTAAATAGTCAATCAATTTTTAAACGTATGTTAAAGAAATATGTAGACATTTTCCTGTAATTAGAGCAAGGAACATCAGGTATGAAAAGGTAACTTGCTTTGAACAAAATTAAAATTCCATTAAGAAAAAGCTCATACATTTCTGTTGTTTCTTATTACACTTAAAGTAGACACTGCCTTCAAGAAGCAATTTTTATAAAACCTAAGATTCAACACACATTGAGGTAGGTTGAATAAACAGTGAATACATCCACTGTCTAACAATTTCTACACAAGCATGGTAAAAAAGTACTCACAGTAGGAGCCAAGTCATGACAGTGGGAGCAGTGAGGGGAATAGAAGTTGATGAACCAAGCCTCTCCAGTACCCTCAACTGACTGCTCTACAAGATCAAAATGTTGCATTTCATTAACATAATGTGAATACAGAAAATATATTTTAACAAAGATCAGTTCAGTCCCCTCACAACTTCTACCATGGCTCTCCAAACTTGCGCCATTTACCTTTATAATATGTTTTAAAAAGTAAATTATTGTTTAAAAAATTGTTTACCAAAATCAACCCTGCTTAGAGTTATGATTTCTGGATCATCATCATATATACCTGTAATACAAGAAATGTTTATTATAAGACAGTATATATAAAAAAGAATTATATATAAGCTTTTAATGGATTTAAAAGTGCAGCAACAGGATAAAATTAAGAAAATATAACACCTACCAAAGTTTTGTTGATACCACTGCCAGCTTTCATACTGTCGCCCTCGCTGGAAGTCATCCTTCAGTCCTTCCTCTCCGTATTGGTCGTATTTCTTGCGTAGGTCTTCATCTTTCAAAACTTCATAGGCCCGATTTATTTTAACAAAAACATCGTGTGCTTTAGGATCATCCTGAGTAAAATAACAAAAAACTTTTACATATTGTACATCTAGACAAATGAAAATAAACCTGAAATTCTATTCTTTCAAAACAAGTAAACAGCTTAAAGTTTGCTGCTAATTTATTGTTACGTACCACATTTTTATCAGGATGTTTAGAAATGGCCAGCTGTTTAAAAGCTCTTCTTATTTCTTTAGCCGAAGCTCCTTTACTGACACCAAGGAGGGTGTAGTAATCTTCTCCACCATTTACAATTTGAATAATAAATAAATAAATAAAGACTAGACATCTTAATGCTGTTGTTGGCTCCATAAATTAGTTTCAAAGACTTATCATTTGATGCACAAATAGATCTGGATATCGACTTTAAATTAGGTTTAAAATGTATTTATTTTGATCCAAATGACAAAATTTGCCTAATAGTTGTCAAACTGCTGATAGTCAATAGATAGTACAGCAATCTCAAGCCTGGTCTGTGGATTGATATAAAGAGGAAAAAATTCATAAAATTCATGTTGAAAAAAAGTTATTTACAAAATTAAGTTTACTTTGGCAAAGAATTATAGGCTACCAGAGTTATATATCTAGTAGTTAAACTGATATTGAAGTACTGTTTAAATATGGGCCTAAAATATATATAAAATATAATAGAATAATTATAATTTTCTAACGTTTAGGCCTAACAAGTCAATATATAAATTATATTCAATTCAGTAGGCCCCTACATAAAAAAATAATGTGTGCTCTAGCTAGATCTATCAATAAACCTCAACATGCCCATGTTGTAGTCTACAATTTAGTAAAAGAGCTGCTCAGAGAAAACTATAGGGCATAGGGCCTAGCCGCTAGCCTAATTAATTAATTAGTTAGTTCTAGGCACTTGACAAAGTCTAGCTAATACAGTGAGTAATAGCTATGCTATGTATATACTATATGCTGGCGGTAGTCTAGCTAGAGAGTCTAGCTCTAAACCTAGATCTAGTAGTAGATCTAGTTAAGTAGTAGAAGTAGACTATGTTAGTATGTAACTTGTATGTATTACTAGGTATGTAGTATGTACTTGTATGTACTACTACTAGATATAGATCTACTACTTATCTATTAGTTAGAATCTAGTATTAGACTGTATTTATCATTATCAATGCCTACTCTACTACTCGTGCTAGCTAGTGGTAGGCCAGTGATTCGGCACAGTGTGATGAGTGAGTAGTGATCTAGATCTAGATCTAGAAGATCTAGATACCGGGCGTTACTGAGTGAGCAAAAGTAAAGTTGAGTAGAGCAAAATTTAGAAAAGAAGAGTAGATGCACAATTAGCACATACACAGCTACAATAATTAAGGCCCTAAAAATATAGCCAATCATGTTATGATAAAAAAGACTCAACTATAAACATTGTCATTCGCAAGCAAATAGAAAAATCCTACTTTCACTTTCCACGTAGTCGTAAATGTTTATTATATAAGCTTTTAATAAACCGGAAACACTAACGTGTAATTTAGACAGAATATCATTGGCGACTTCCGTTATATTAACGGAAATACCCTTTCCCCACGACAACCCAAATAAGAAAAAAATAATTAAAAAACCAATTAAAGAAGAATTTAATTATTTTTTACAATATTGTCAAATATTAAAAGACTAAAAACAGCGTAACTAAACACAAGAACATTTAAACCTTCCACAATCGAGTTTGAGCTGGACAAAAGCGGTTGTCGTTTTGCTGGGTCTCGGCTAGATGCCTAGTCTCGTATCTGGCAAAATAAGTCGATTTTCTATAAAGGTGGTTAGTTTAGTACTGGCAACCTGGGGTAGACTGTTTGTGTCCAAGCGGCAGGACAAATACATTTTAAAAATGTTCATAGTCCATTTTTTCATCCGAGCCTGAGGAACGGTGCCTACTAAATAAATCTACACAGTGGCGTAGCGAGGTCGGGTGTCACCCGGTGCGGCACTTAATGTCACCCCCCCCCCCCCAGAGGCGTAGCGACCATTCCCGGGGACTTCTTCTTCTTCTTCTTCATTCTTAATTATTAGTGTCGAAGGGGATCGAGATTTATCTGCCAGTGGGTTTGAACTCGAGACTGTTCGAATTTATCAACCACGAGCTTTTTGCCGACTCGACCACGCCTCCAACACAATTAAGCGTTACGTGTCAACTGGTTATGCGCCATTGAGGCCATTGACTCCGATTTCAGCCTGCTTTTCTTTCCATAGCTTTTGTCCAACCAAGAACAATCTACAAGGCAGCAGTTGTTTAATTTTGGAGTTGTCCCTCCTAGAAGAGTGGCTGTCCCCAGCTAACGAGCCTCATCTGCCCGAGGGTTCGAACTCGAGACTTTTCGGTTTAGCAACCATGAGCTTTACCGACTCGACCACGCCGAACCCTATTCCCGGGGACAAACTTTCAAATTTTCGATTTGCACCCCCCCCCCCCTCAAACTTTCTATTTGCACCCCCCCCCCTCAAGTTTTTCTCTATATATTTTGCTATTTATTGTCTTGGTGTCGCCCCCCCCCCCCCCCCCCTAAATGGTGTCACCCGGTGCGATCCGCACCCCCCCCCTCGCTACGCCTCTGAATCTACAAATTACAATATGCGGGGCTTATCTGGACAAGACCCGCCCCGGCGGCCGTCCAACCCTGCTTGCGGAGACTTTGTATTCTCGTTGTGGACACCAGTGTTTCTTCCTTTCTTCCAGACTTTTTTCTCCGGGGGGGGGGGGGGGGGGGGGTCGAACTATAATTTTCGGGGGGGGGGGGGGCGGTCACTTTATGTAAATTCCATTTCGTTTCATGGGAGTGGGGGCGGTAGACTTTCTTCGGAGAGATGCTCTGGTGGACACTGAACCGTCACCTGATCAACGTAGCCCAGCCTCACTTCAACGGTAGGCCCCATCAGTTTGAGCACATTTTGTTGGATGTCTTCAAACTCGGGTAAAATGCGAACACGAAGAGGAAGTAGAACAGTCACGTTATTATTATTGTAATCTGTTTCACACTGAAAAGATGCGTGTTAGCTTGTGGCTCTCTACAGAAAGATTTTTATTAATGACAATGTGCTGTCGGTGTTTTAGTCCTCAAAATTCATGTAGCCTAATATGTCGGATCTGTCATTAGCATTTACATATACACTCACGTGGGTGCGTGAGCATGTGTGTGCGTGTGCACGTGTGTTTTTGTATATGTGTGTGATTATAGATTTTTTTGTTCGTCCCCCACCCCGCATGCTGTGCTCCACTGACCACATGCGTGGAACTGCTGGTAATACATAATGGACGGCGTGCACAGGTTGTAGACGAAACTGATATAAACCTCACAGCTTTGAGAGTTAGAAACCCAAGTTAGAGAGTTGAAAATGTTAGGAGTCAATGACTCACTGGCACGTAAACAGCTGACACGTATACTTAATTGTGCTTGAGGGAATCCCTTCCAACACTAAAATTTAAGAACGAAGATCGGTCAGCTCACTTGTAGTGTGTTACATAGAAATGAAGTTTTGTGAGTTGAAAATGTAATGATAAAATCCGTCAGCATCAAATAGAAATGAAGTTTTAAGAGTTGAAAATGTTTGATAAAATCTGTTAGGGGGGTCATCCATAAATGACGTCACGCTTTTTTGGACGATTTTTACCTCCCCCCCTCACCTCCATCACACGTCGTCACAAAAAGCCAGACCCCCCCCCCTAAAATGGCGCCACACCTCAGCCTATATTGGCCTATAACCCCCTCAAAATTGCTATTGCATTTTTTTTATTAAAACATCGATATTTTTCCAAAATCTTGTCAACATAGAGTATTTTGATCAATTCCTATTACAATTTATTAAAACCGTTATCTAAAACGCGAAATAACGGCTAAAACTCGTTTTTTAACATTGCTTTTTTATAATGCAAAAAAGTCTCGTCACACCATCTGAACCCCCTCCCCTTCATCACACACCGTCACAAAATTACCGACCCCCTCCCCCCTACGAGTGTGACGTCATTTATGGACGACCCCTTAGCGTACTTGTAGTGTATCCATTAGAAATAAAGTTTCACCAATAAGACGAGAAGGCCCATCCAGATATTACTATCATTAGGGCGGAATTTTTTTTGTAGCCATCTACATTAGCTATTCCTAATTAAAGCCAGGTACTTGATATAGCTGAGTGTACTCAGTGTACTATTGGCGGCGCACCAAAAATGTTTTGCGTGACAAGTATTTGAACCTAGAATCAACGGGTTACTGTCCCAACAAATACAACGCCGTACACCTTTTATTTGTCTTTGTGTAGTTCAGGCTGTGAGATAAATCTAACAAGTTTGCTCTCGCCCATAGTACATACTCTGGTTGATTAAAAAGTAGAACTGGATTCGCCCATACCACCCCGGTATAACAACCCGATCTGGTTGATTAAAAAGTAGAACTGGATTCGCCCATACCACCCCGGTATAACAACCCGATGTGGTTGATTAAAAAGTAGAACTAGATTCGCCCATACCACCCCATACCTCCCCGGTATAACAACCCGATCTGTCAACGTTGGACCCCGTAAGTCGGTGACGAAAATATTGTACCGAGATATTTTGGGTCTTTAATCGAGTTTCAAGATTACACCTACGCCATTTGTAAATGCTTCCATTTAGGGGTAAATATAGGCTTAACTGGGCCTTGGTCTCCCATGAGATCTTTCTTACACACCCGTAGGCGTACATGATCTCGCTATTTGCCGTCCCGATAAACGGATTATCCGGTTAATTGACGATGCTGAAAATGGTTAGAAAACGTAGATGACGGTGGAGTACTAGTTTAAAAAAAAAAAAAACTGAAGTTGTTGGTTTAAGTGAAGAGCCCTTGTTAAAAAAAAAGAGTGTTAGTTTTCTGTAGTTTATACAAGGATGAACCTGATTATGAAGTTGTCGTGAAGTCTAGCATATAGCCAAACTGGTCTCTCTCACTTATCTGTTTGGCGGTGGTGTCAAGAGTTGTGGGACCTTACAGAGATTTATCTTGTCCAAGAAAGAGTGGGGTACGGATTTTAGTGGGGGTTTCTGGTCAAACATATTTCAACACAACTTTTGAGATATAGAATTGTAGGTTTCCTGCACATTTTATTCGAGGAACTGCCATAAATTGTTCAAAATTGTAAGTAATTAACATTAAAGAGAATGTGTGATATAGAATTGTGAGTAGTTGACGGCTTGTACGTTATATGTAGATGGTAATTGTGAACTTATAGAGAAATTCGGTAAGTTTATATTTACTTTTGTGGCGTAGGCAGGTATGAGGAACTAGGAGCGTCTTATTATTGTTACAGATATTGGCGACCTCACGCTTATTTCGATATTATATATATATATATATATATATATATATATATATATATATATATATAACATAAAAATATCATGCCTACACCATTAACTTTAGAAATGATTATACTATAGGGCTGGTGAGTAGGTCACCAACCAGTTCTACGGCTCAATGAAACCTGCAAGAGCCATAAAACTGGTTGGTGAACTACTTACCAGCCCTATAGATAGATGTTCATTATTAGGATTACATTAGTTTAAATAAACTATGAACCGATCAGATTTCTATGAAATATAATCATACACGTTAGGAAATATTTTATACTTGATAGATTATGTTAAAATACGACAAATTATATCAGACACAATTCTTAAAGCACATTTTAGGATATACTTTTGAACTTATTTCAGTTTTAGATTGAAGCCTAGTAAATAAATGAAAACAAAATAACACGATTTAAGCTGACATCTCTCTTGGAACATATCCTGGGATTTATCCACTGCTTTAAGACGCATACACTGATCTAACTCTACAATACATAAGAAGACATTGGATCAGTCTAGTATTGATCAGCTGAACCAACTTGTAGAATAGGCCATGGAGAGCCTAGTCTCAGCACTGATGCTTATCACATTGGCCTTGTCATCATTAGTTGTGGCAGGTAGTCCAACAGGTAGGTTTCTATATTCTTACACTTATTTCATGGATGAGAAGATGTTTAAAAAAGTTAATATAAAAAAAATGAAAAACATATGTGTTAAAAAATAATTAAAAATAAATACTTTTTTAAAATAAAAAATAAAAAATAAGTACATGTATATTAAGTTTGGCGTTTGATTTTTCTTTAAATAAAGCGGGAGTGATCTCCCCTAAACTTTCTCGATTATTCTTATATAACACTACGGGGGATACCAACTCGAGTTTTAGACATGATTTTTAATCCATTTTAATCACTTAAAATTTCTAAAAATAGAATAGAATCTCGTATGAAAAAAGAATTGCGCATCAAATGAACAGCAAACAAAGTGTGTATAATAGTGCGGAATATTAGTACTTTACAAATTCATATTTTGTTTTGAGAAATCAGAACACACAGTTCTCGATAACATTGTTGTACCACAAATAGTAAAACAAATGTATAGTAACAAATGGAAGAAATATAAAAACAATGTTGAAGGACTTAGTAAATGAACATGCCTTTGTTTATCTCGTGTTAAACTGAGTTCTAACATTATGTCTTTATACCCAGGTACTGGCGTTGTGTCGGCTAGGGACACAGATAAGGTAAGCACAACCTGACGAGTGTCAAATGTATCGATACTAAAATTATTACAGGCCCTATACAGGTATAGCGAGATTTATCGTTGCTTAAACTGATTAGTTGTTGCCGGTCAGGTACAAGAATCTTATTCAATAGATAGAGCCTGAGAGTAGGTAATAACTCCTCTGTCAATTACCCCCCCCCCCCCCATCCCCGTCATCGGACTCTTAGATCAATTATGTCCTAATTCCCCCATGGTAATTAACCCTCCCCCCCCCCCCCCCCCATTTTGCGAGAGTACCAATTGTATTATAAATGTTGAGAGCGAGGTTAGAAAAAAAGGCATTTCATAGCATGCATGAAATTGACCGACACAGTTGGAAGTAAATAGTATTTCGTACTTCTATATTTCTATATAGTATCAAACAGAGAAATTAGCAATTAAATAAAGCTTAAATAAATAAGCTTATTTCTTGAAGAAAATTTCCTCCCCAACTCCTTGATGGACAGTGAATCTTGTAAAATGAAATAGATGTCCCCTAGCTTTCCTTGCCTGCCTACGTTCTTGTAGTGTCACAATGTCGGCCGTCCCACTCGACATTTTGTAAACAAAACAAAAAGTCCCTTGTGATAGTACACGTAGGGTGATATCATATTAATTTCCCCCACCTCATATGTTTTAAAAAAATACATATAGATTATAGTCGCATAGGCTGTGCGAACTTATCACTAATTAAAAAAGTATCTGTACAACTACGGCGGCTATCAGCACCTCAGCTTATTAAGAAAAAAAGGACAATTAATAACCTTGATCAAGGATTGTTTATGTATTGTGTTTATTCGTAGCCATGACGTCACATTTGTGAAGTATTTATGACGTCTGCTACCCAGTTTGTCGTAAACGTACGACCTATTTCTTCTTCTTCTTCTTCGTTCTTAATTTTTAGTGTTGGAAGGGATCGAGCCTTATCTGCCAGAGGGTTTGAACTCGATGCTTTTTCGAATTTTTCAACCATGAGCTTTTGCCGACTCGACCACGCCTCCAACACAATTAAGGATACGTGTCAACTGGTTAAGCGCCATTAAGGCCATTGACTCCGATTTCAGCCTGCTTTTCTTTTTGGATTTGCTTCCATAGTCTTTGTCCAACCAAGAACAAACTACAAGGCAGCAGTTGTTTGATTTTGGAGTTGTCATCTGCCCGAGGGTTCGAACTCGAGACTTTTCGGTTTAGCAACCACGAGCTATACCGACTCGACCACGCCGACCCCCTCGACCTGTTTCAAAGTCCACACCTTGAAAGGTTAAAGTTTATAAATGGTAGTGGTTTCTATTGGTGCCGTTAATGTTATACGTTAACTACATTCTGTTGACTCTAGGCAGTTAAAGAAAAAAAAATCAGAGTCCTCTTTAGACCTAGCGATCCATTAAGCAGATGAAGTAGAGTTCATGTTTTTAAACTCGGCATTGGAAGGATATTGTGGTCAGCACTATTCACAGCCGCCTTTATCGTTCCTAGTGCGAGTTAGATACCCATCACTGACTTGAACCCGGATTCGAACTGGAGACTGTTAGATGAGCAGTCTAGCGCTCTACCGCTAGGCCACGTATATGACCATTTTAAACTACCATTCGGTAACTGAGGAATCGTCCACCTGTGATGTCAAGCAATTTAGCCTATACACACTCTCCTCCCCCCTCCCCTCCTGTACCTAGTATCTTCACACATCGTCATTCTCACCCCCATCCTCACACACGTAGCAAATCCTAACAAAATCCTAATTTGCGAACCATTTTTTTAATAAATTAAAAAAAAAGAAACAGTCTCTATATTCAACCTACCTCTCCCGATATTAAATCTTTTCCTTTTATATGAAATCGTATCCCCGGTAATAATGCAAGAGATACAATGTAAACAACTCCATTTTGTCGTAATACGTCATGCCACAAAGGTGAACTTTTAATCTGAGGATTACATGTAACAGATTATTGTTCTGTGAAGTATTTCATTCAATACGTATGTACTTATAGATAAGCTGTTTTCCCCCACTCAAAGCTAACAAATCTTACATCTTTTAACTTTGATTTATGCTAGGTAGCGCTAGTTCTTTTATGGGACTTAGCTTTTTGATGTCGAAGACTGTTAAAATCACGAGGAATTATGGTTTTCTTTTAAAAATTTTAGTTTGAAGATCCAGTATTATGGTTAAAAGTTATTTATATAGAGTTTTGTGACCTTTAAGGACGTCACCTTCGTTTGTCACATAACGTCTTTTTAAAAAAAAATACTTTTATTTTCCATAAAACAAATTACAACATATTTAGAGTAATAAAATTTACATACAAGTGACAATTTAATAATAATTTACATTATGGCAAATATGTGATGGAGCTAAATTTGATATGTACAAAAACCATTTTATTTTTGCCATTGCAAGAATTTTAATTAAAATTCAGAACTTACAAGTTAAAAAATTTTCCATTCATAATTTTGTTATAATTAAAAGGTTTTATTAGTTTAACTGCAGGAAATTATAGCTCAAAGTATTAGCCTAGGAATTATCAATATGTACTGGGTATTAAGTTTAAATAAGTATTCTATTTAATTAATACTGTAAAAGAAAAACAAGTTTAATAAAAATCATACACCAGGGGTCGGCAACCTGCGGCTCGCGAGCCGCATGCGGCTCTTTTGATGTCATGATGCGGCTCTTCAGCTCCATGCACAAATATTAATAATTATTTTAATTTATTTTTAAAACTCATAAAAATATTAGTCTGCAATACTCGGTAATTAAAGATTTAGATCTAATAACAATGTAAAGTTTCTAATTTCGAGCAGAGCTTGCTAAACTACTTTAATATGTTTTGTGCGAAACATGTGTATGATTTTATATGAATAAATATTATTTCATATTTTAAGCTATTTATTTTAAATGTGTATATATATATATATATATATATATATATATATATATATATATATATATATATATATATATATATATATATATATATATATATAATATCATAATATTGAAATGGAAATGTTTGTGGCTCTTTAAAAACTGTAAAATGTGGTAAATTGTAACTTTTGGCTCTTCCGTCCCAAAAGGTTGCCGACCCCTGTCATACACAGTTGTATAATATGTACAAAAACCATGACGTCACAGCAACTAGCCATTGGCAATAAACTATGAGCAATTAGTTCTGCACTCAGCAGCAATTAGCTAGTCAGTCATTCGTTTTTTTTTTCTTTCTGTAACACCCTTGCGTATCGCACTGTAAATTTAACAAAGTGTTATAGAATATTTCTTATAGCTATAATGTAAAATACATGAAAACTAAAATATTAATTTTTTGTTTGTTTCAGGCCTCTGCTCTCAGGAATAAGGTAGGCATTTTTACTTTCCTTGAACATGACACAAAAACTTACTAATCGGCTCGATTCTCTCCCTTACTGTAAGATCGCGACTGTTGTGTACCGACACACTATTCGAGTTAATATTTCTCTTTAGTTTGTTCTTGATGTTTTTTTTTTCAATAAGGATGTGAGGGGGGGGGGGGGCATTTGCTCCGGAATGGGACAGTACTGAGAATACTGAAACTTAATGTTGTTTCGTTTTTTAAAAAAATATAATGTTTATATTGTGTTTAAAATTTAACGTCAGGTCTTTTTTTTATATTCAGTGGCGTCACAAGGCGGGAGGGGGTTGTGGTTAAACACTGGGTGACACCATTTAGAGGGTGACACCATTTAGAGGGTGATACCATTTTGAGGGTGGTACCATTTAGAGGGTGATACCTTTTAGAGGGTGATACCATGTAGAGGGTGACACTATTTAGAGGGTGATACCATGAGGAAAAGTCGTAAATTGTAATGTTTAACACAATGTTTTATCTATAACAAAATAGTAGGGGGAGAGGACTGACACCAAACCGAAAATGTGACATTGATGGGGGGGGGGGGGGAAGTGACATCCTAATTTATCTTACCGAATAACACCCAACCTGGTGACGCCACTGATTGTAGTAGTTTAGAGAAAAAAACAAATTATTATCTTGAGACATGGCCGATAAAGTAGAGTTCTGTACACGCCTAACACTTGCCTACAAATTCTTTATTAAAAAACGGAAACCGTGACTTATGTTTATTTTTATATTACAGTTGCAAAAGTTACGCGAGCTGGTATGTACAGGTTCCATTATTATTTCTTCGGTTACCTCCCATATCATCAGTGTAACGAGTTTTTTCTCCAGTTATCTCCCATGTCACCGTTTTTACGTTTTTTTCCTTCTGCTTCATAACGCTTTACATTGTGTTGTTATACAGCTATCTATTCTACATATTGCATGATTATCTTTTAATGAATATTTATAGTAATTTTTTTCCATACATAAACATAAATAAGATAGTGTTGTTCTATCAACTCTATTCACAAGTTATTTTTATATATTTAATGTTAATTTACACATTTTTATCTGTTTCGTTTTGTTGCTACTGTCCATTATTCTCATTCAATGATTCATTCATGCTTTGTGTTCATTGTTTAGTCTTATACCTGTTGAAAGCGACCTGCAAATATAACTTAGATCGTCATGAGGGAATCCATTAGTTTTCAAACAGGTCTCTTCCAAACTTTTCAATGCTTGCCATCTTATAATAACTTTTGGCGGCTGTTTCTCAAGTTTCATGAAAAGTCATGTTTTTAGTCTTAAGTCGTGTTTAGTTAGTTTGGTTCAAAGTCAAGTTACCAGCATAGCTTCAACCTATTTGACCGCATATTGGGGTGTTGGTTCTCAGTTGTCCCAAGACGTAGATGAAGTAGAGTTGAAGTCGTACACAGCCCAGAAACCAGCGTCTGATAAAGTAGATTTAAAGTCGTACACTGACCAGAAACCAGCACCTACCAAGACACCAGCGCAAGAGGTGTCTGAAGATGATATGAAACACGCGCTTACGGCATCTGATGTGGTCCCAGTAAAGGTCAGTGTTTAATGCTACTTTATCTTTATCACTGTTCATTTTTTTGCTAATTAATATAGTTTTACTTCTGTAACTGTAAAACATGGATTAAGGAAGTAAAAGTGAGTTATTTAAATGGAAGGTTGGAATAATTATTAGATAGCAATTCAGTTCATACAATCAGATTAGACCAGAGGCGTAGCGACCCTTCCCGGCGCCCGGGGACAAACTTTTCGATTTGCACCCCCCCCCCGTCAAGATTTTCATTTGCACCTCTCTCAAACTTTCAATTTGCACCGCCCTCAACCTTTCAATTTATTTTTCCAACCCATTTTGGCGCCCCCTAAGGTCGGCGCCCGGGGACATGTGTCCCCCCCCGGCCCCCCTCCCCTCGCTAAGCTACCGGATTAGACTACCCAGTTGAGATTATGTTACATCACTGCCTCAAATCCCATCAGCAAAAAATTACGAAGTTTTTACTTGAACCAAACGAAACAAACACAGTCTTTTAAAAACATGTCTACTTACATTCTTACTTACTTACATTACTTCAATCTTTTATTTTGTGTCCAGGGTACTAGAGCGAGCATACCACTATCAAAAAGTGACGAGGATTCTATAGACGTAAGTTGAGGCACCATGCACACATTACATAACATAAAGGAGTGGATCACTAATGGGGTGTTTTTTTCGTGGGGTTTGGATACATTTAAAGACTTCTTAAATGTCATAATGAAGTGTCAATGAAATAATCTGACGCCATAAAAAATTTATCTAATGTGTCTTGGTTGGGTGTGTGGGACGGGGAAGTGGGGTGGTTATTACAAATGGTATACATTATGAGGAGTTTTGTTTTCTTCTTAAACCAGGTCTTATCTAAGGCACTAGCACGTCTACATCAGCCTAAATATAAAAGTAGGATGGATTCTATCGGGGGTAAGGAGATATTATACATATATACATACATACATATATATATATATATATATATATGTATATATATGTATATATATGTATATATATATATATACATATATACATATGTATATATACATATACACATATATACACATGTATATATATATATATATATACATATATATATATATATGTGTGTGTGTATGTGTGTGTGTATGTGTGCGTGTATTGAGCCACCTCTTATGTTATGAATGAATCCACATTTTGTCGTTATTGTCGCATGATTCAAACTGTGTGATACTTTAGGAGCTATTGCTTTCTACAGCCAACATCCAGTTGGTAGTTAAGATAAAGTTCTTGGTTAGGGTTGATCTATTATTGGTGACTGTCTCTGTCAGGTATACGTACCCATGGTTAACCGATTAGTATCGATGCTATTTTCTGACAGAGTACCTAGGCACCGAGTAGATTTATTGTCTCTGTCAGGTATACGTACCCATGGTTAACCGATTAGTATCGATACTATCTTCTGACAGAGTATTTAGGCACCGAGTACAACGAAGAAGAAGAACCTGGACAGGACGTGGTCGAACTGGAAAATCTCATCCGACGTGCTTTGGTCAAGCTCAGTGAAGAAAAGACTGCTCACCCCAAACCAGCATTGTTTAGTAAGTTCAGGGGTCAGGGGTTAATAAGTTCATTTCCGCTAAACTTTAATGTCAGAGGTAAATAATTCATTTCTGGCCAACTTTGAGGTCAGAGGTTAGTAAGTTCATTTTAAAAATGTCCATCCAAAGTTGGTTAGATCAGTTATTATAGTTGGTCTAAAGGGACATGCACATTATTAGAACATACAACACTATAATTTAAAACAAACTGCTCTTTATTTAAGAAGTGTAGTTGAACACTAGGGTATAGGTGAATACGTATGTGTGCGTGTGTATGTGTGCGTGTTGTTCGCGTATGTGTGCTTGTATTTATATTTTTGTATGTAGACCTACATGGCTATAGTGCTATACCCAGAGGCGTAGCGAAGGGGGGGGGGGAGGCGGGGGGTGCGGACCGCACCGGGTGACACCATTTAGAGGGGTGACACCAAGGCAAAAAATAGCAAAATATATAGAGAAAAACTTGAGGGGGGTGCAAATTGAAAGTTTGAGGAGGGGGGTGCAAATCGAAAATTTGAAAGTTTGTTCCGGGAAGGGTCGCTACGCCTCTGGGGGTGACACCATTAAGTACCGCACCGGGGGACACCCGACCTCGCTACGCCACTGGCTATACCCCCTTATATTTAGGGTTATGGAATCTATTAAAGAACCAAAATAATTTGTTAAATGATTTGTTAACTTACAGAACTTCCCTCAACTGAAAACATTCGACAAATAGAACAGCCACAACACAGTGAGTATATGCCTGTATATATATATATATATATATATATATATATATATATATATATATATATAAATATAACAACATTGTTTCTTTTATGTTTCATTGTAAACCGTTAGACTATAAAGTATTTTTCTAGTAGTTTCATCCTAGAATTACAGAATCACTTATTTAAAAGTGCACTACTATAATATACAGTTAGCTTTAAATCTATCTTAAGGTGTATTTTACATTACTTTCAAGTTTAATGACGCACAGTTGTATCCCATTACCTGATATATTATAAAGCTGTTATGGGTGTAATTCATAATGTTTTGTCACAAGTACCTATCATTGTTTACCCCCCCCCCCTCCACCCCACCCATGCATTTTGCCCTGAATAGCGGAAGAGAACCAACTGAATGCGGAGGTGTTAAAAGATAACAAGCAACTAAAAGCAGAAGGTGAGATCTAGATTTTTCTTTTAGCCTTTAATTTACAACTTTTAAAACCATTAGCAAGTGAATCCCTTGCAAAGTGATATTTGAAAAATAAAGGGAAGTAACATTTAGATTAAATGTTACAATTTTAAAAACAATAATTATCTACCTTGTATTCGGTATTTTGGCTATAAAATTATTAATCAAGATCTGAAATCCAAACATAACGGGCAGGTTGGAATAATTAATTAAAAATATTCTCTAATTTAATCCTGAGACTGTCGAAGTACATTTTTAAGTTTTCGTGACGGCAGTGTAGAGTGTAGACCAATGTACAGTATCGGCGCCAGGTTATTTAGCGCCCTAGCCAAAACCTATTAAAACGCCCCCTTTCACACAAATTAATTACTAATATATATTTATAAGAAAACAATTAATTCAAGGTGACATATTAATTCATTATCAATAGCATACATGTTATAAGTAAACATCAAAATCAAATTTTACTTGCCTCCTTCGTCTCAAAAGTTTGTACTAATTCCTTCAATTCCAATTTGCAAGCGTAATCACTTTGTATTGAAATTGTTGCTAAGTCTACGAAACTACTTTGTACTTTACGACATAGCCCCCCCCCCCCCCACTTTAGAAAATTTTGTGCACACCCCCCCCCCCCTCCCCCCACAAGAAAAAAGTCTGGAAAAAAAACCCACTGATAAAAAAAAGTTCTTGTAGTGTTGGGCTCTCGGCAGTCCTCCCAAGGTGAGTTCCAAAACGGAACTTACCTGTTTTAAGCTTGACTGTGTCTAGTTATAATTGTAAAATGTCTATATTGTATGATTATGTAACGATCTTTTTGAAAAATAAAAGGTTATAAATGTTATAGATTCCAGTCTAAAAGTGTTATATATGAATCCTTTAGGAGAGGGTGAAAGATATGAAAAGACAATTAGATGATTAATTTACAACTAAGACTTTACGTCTACTAACATTATGTATTGCAATCTACAACGGCTGCTGATGTATTTGTTTTTCAACTTGATAATGTTAAAAAACCTACCAAACTATTTTGTTTAGAACTTAAGCTCTATGTAATTTTTACAATAACTTTAAGTTGTATTTATATGTAAGCGGTCAACCTAAGGTGCACGTATCTGAAATTAATGTAAAGTTAAGCAACGATTTATCTCCCATTTGATAATCAAAATAACAAAATTGTATTCAAGGGAAATAACTTACACATAAATTGCTAAATTAACCAAGTGTAACTAAGACATGATTGAAAACACAATAAAACACTCTAAACTTCATTACGTTATAATTATAACAAGCCTTTTATATGAACTATGTAAACTTGTGAAAAAAATATATTTTACATATTGAATACTTAACTATAGTTTTTGTTTAAAAGTCTAAAAATGGTAGCTTTATTATAGCATACTTCTATTCAATAATGAGGACATTCAAATGAATGTTTGACCTTCAGTTCTTAAAATAACGTTAAATTTTGGATCCCCTAAATTTTTAGGGACGTTTTTAAAAACAAATAAACACGGGTAACTGTTTTAGACATTGTTAGAATTATTGATTGAATATTAAAAAAAAAACAATTAATTTGAAAAAAAAACAAAGTTGACAGGCTAGTTATAAATTCCATCCTATTTAATATTATATATTAAATTAATACTTTAATAGTTGTAATATAGTTTCCTAAAAAAACTAAAGATTTTTCAACTAGAGAAAGCCTTCCTTTCTTTGTAGTGTGTTCCGTACTGAACTAAAATCATATAACTTACGATAAACTCGACTACTCGATATACTCTACTACATTCACAACACATATCAAACTACGACACCAACTCGTTTAACTTCACCAAACTACAAACGGTACTCCCAATCAACAACGATTTCACTGGACCTACTACTACACTTTAACAGTCAATAACATTCGATACCTTAATACCAAGAGAATCAATACTCCCGAACTCCAGAACTACGATACTTCATCACCTACATTACATTCTCATTTTTCTACTACCAATCAGATTCCACTAGACCTTTAACTACACAACAACCATATACAAATTATGACACTTAAACAGTTAGATACTTTATACCTAAGAAACCATATCAGCAACAGCCTTCCGCAGTTACTCCCAAATCTAAACGATTCATGAAAACTTACCGAACAAGTAAAATACTTTAAACACATTACAAAACTATACACCAGGACAGATTTCTAATCCAAAGTTAAAGAAAACGAGACTTACAGGCCCTATTAAAATTAAATAACCGTTTGAAATGTTCGAAATTCGAAATTTAAATTATAAAATTATTTAATCGTTTTCTGCATCAATTATGTGACACAAAATTTAAAAGGTAAAGTAACTTTCCAAATTAGGGAGGTGGGATTGCATTTTCACGATCGCGAATAAATATAGGCCCATATAGACCTAATTTTGGGGTGGGGGTGCAAAATTGATAGTTCATCCTGGGTGCCGAAATAGATCACTACTCCTTTATAAAAGTTATTAATTATTAGGTACTTTTTGATAATAGCGATTAAACCTTTTGCGCCCCCAAGGGATAGCGCCCTAGGTGACCGCCTAGTTCGCCTTATAGGTAGCGCCGGCCCTGCGAATGTCACAGAAGTGAGTGTGGAAGCTCATCCAAATCTTTATGTCAATATTGTTTACAGCTCTGAAAGCTGTTGAGAATCAACTGCTCCGCGATATATCGCTCCTTAACAAGCTGGGTTTTACAGTAGATGACGTCATATCAGATCTCCAGAATAAAGGTGAGACACCATACATTTTGTTTCGATGTTAGAAAAATTGTTTTTTTAGCTAGTTGGTGGGAAGGCTTGGCCTAGCGGTAAAGTGCTAGACTGCTGAGCACACTATCCCTTCATATGCCGAGGTCACAGAAAGAAGCGAACTCAACTTTATTAGTTTACACGGGCAAGGGAAAAGGGAACGTAACAAACTTTTACAAGGCTGATTGAGGCCAGCAAGCGAACACTTTGTCATGTAAAATAAAAAATATAATAGGTAGACCTGGAATTTTAGGTTTAAAAACTTTAAGTGGAGCCTTCATATTGTTGATTGTGTAAACTAAACGTTTCATGCGTATTGAATGGGAAACGTACGAATCAACATTATAGTTAAAGACGAGGGTCGTCCAAATGAGGACACATTTATGTGGGGTGGTTTTTGATTTTTGATTTACTGTGGTATTTAAGGGATGGTGGGCTTCATCTGGGATGGGGCTAAGTAAATATATTATAACTTACGTCTCTCTCTAATATTTGGATGTTCTTGAGTTTTCTAATGTTCAGGGGTGTTGGGATTTCTTGAGTGTTTTGATATTCCTCGTGCTTTGATGTTGCTAATATTCTAATGTTGGTTTTAATTTTTTTTTCCATCAGAAAACAGAGACGATGAATTGAAGAAGATTGAGGAAGAACTAGACAGATTGGCCAACTCGTGACGAGTCTTATTTCACTCAGGAGGAGGAGGTGGGGAGGAGAGGGGTGAGAGTGACTGGAGTGAGTAATGACGTCATTTGAGAAGAATGTGCTAGGAATGTAAAAAAAAAAACAACTTTTGATTACATTCGCATTACTTTTGTAATAATTGCCTCTGTGTCTCAATTAGAATAAACATTGTTTTTATTTCACTCATATTATTCATCGTTTTACCTCTATTAATGTTTAAAATATATAGATCTCATATGGTTTTGTCCGAGTGATTTATGGTGTACAGCGGTCAGCCATATTGAAAGGTCAAATCATTGGCAGCCCACATTGAGACATTGTATTAGCTGGATACAGTGTATCTAGTTGTAGAGAAAAGCTAGAGGCTGATTATTAAAACATGAGGACCGATAATTAAATCTGACCACAGGACGGTTCAGGGGAGTACAAGAAACAAATTGAGAGGTGCTGGTCTAAAGGAGTAAAGCTATCAAGGAAGTGAGGGGTGTAAAGCTAACAAATATTTAGCTGAGGGGTGTAAAGCTAACAAATATTTAGTTGAGGGGTGTAAAGCTAACAAATATTTAGCTGAGGGGTGTAAAGCTAACAAATATTTAGCTGAGGGGTGTAAAGCTAACAAATATTTAGCTGAGGGGAGAAATCTGATCACTAATTGAGAGAGAAGATCAAATGACGATCAGAGAGGTAGGAAGAGATAAGGATAGAGGAGATAAGGATAATAGCCATGATAGTTCAGGTATAGACAGGAGTGTAGAGTACTACACGCAAACATTAGATCTCAATGTAGAGTACTACACGCAAACATTAGATCTCAATGTAGAGTACTACACTCAATAGATCTCAATGTAGAGTACTACATGCCCTAGATCTCAATGTAGAGTACTACACGTAAACATTAGATCTCAATGTAGAGTACTACACGCAAACATTAGATCTCAATGTAGAGTACTACACGCAAACATTAGATCTCAATGTAGAGTACTACACTCAATAGATCTCAATGTAGAGTACTACACGTAAACACTAGATCGCAATGTAGAGTACTACACGTAAACACTAGATCGCAATGTAGAGTACTACATGCAGTAGATCTCAATGTAGAGTACTACACTCATTATATCTCAATGTAAAGTACTACACGCAAACACTAGATGTCAATGTATAGTACTACATGCCATAGATCTCAATGTAGAGTGCTACATGTACTAGATCTCAATGTAGAGTACTACATGCACTAGATCTCAATGTAGATTACTACATGCACTAGATCACAATGTAAAGTACTATACACACTAGATACAATGCATTCTACAACTGTTAACGCGTATTTAACACATGAATAACACCCCCGTGTGCAAACTGTCGTTCTGGTTAAATGAAGATGAAACAGTTGTCGCACGTTAATAAACATGGACGTATGGGATCTACAATGCAGGTAGTGATTGATCAATCAGATGAATACAGACACACTGTGGAAATATTTGAGTTGGGGGTGGGTCCCATGGGCCCCTGGGGTGCGGCTTGAACCCACGCCAGCAATTACATTTGGGCCTAGACGGACGCCACAAGTGTGTAATGAAAATCTAGTATTTATCGCCGCCCCAGCACATGAATAGTCTAACCTATGGCGAGCGTGAGTTGAGCGAGTCATATTTCACGTAACCAGATATCAGAAGTGTGTGAGTTCTAGGAGACAAAATCACTTCCCTATTGTGTGGGCTCATATGGTATAGCACTGTTGTATAAATCACTTCCTTTATATATGGGCTCATAATGGTATCTAGCATAGCACTGTTGTATAAATCACTTCCCTTATATATGGGCTCATATGGTATCTAGCATAGCACTGTTGTATGTTGTTCGTCACTGTGCTTGGTGCCTGAACTGATGTGTATGGTACAGTGGCGGAACTAGAAAAAAAGGGCCACCCCGCAAAAAAATTTTTTAGGCCCCCCCATATATATATATATATATATATATATATATATATATATATATATATATATATATATATATATATATATATATATATATATATATATATATATATATATATATATATATAATATATATATATATATATATATATATATATATATATATATATATATGTATATACATATATATATATATATATGTATATACATATATATATATATATATATATATATATATTATATATATATATATATATATATATATATATATATATATATATATATATATATATATATATATATATATATATATATATATATATATATATATATATATATATATATATATATATATATATATATATATATATATATATATATATATATATATATATATATATATATATATATATATATATATTAACAATCACAAAGTACGAACATAGGATACTCATTGCTGGCCTGTTCGGGATTTGAAAAACATCAATTTAAAAAAAGAATTCAACATTATGTCATGTGTTTAAGTGCATTAGTATGTTTTGTGAACATTTTTTTTTAATACTTTTATTTGAAATTTAAAACAAGTACATCAACATCAAATTATTTACAAAAAATCAGTTTTAATTAATTTTTGATAGAGGCCCTCTTAACATTTAGTCGATCAAAAACCTCTTAACATTTAGTCGATCAAAAAAATATAAAACATGAAAGCTTTGTATAAGTAATGGTGTCTCGTGTTATGTTTATTTTATGTTTTTTTTTGTATTTATATAATTAATTTTTTAAGTGTTATTGATTTAATACATTTACTTTTTATAAAATTTCGTTATTTAAAAATTACTTACAAAAAATAATAATTAAGAGAAGTAATTGCTTTTTAATTTGTTTAGTACGAATCTATTAAAAGTAGCTTATGATTACCCTTATTTAACTATTTTAAGAATAAGTCATGGAAGTGGTTTGAACATTTGCTTATCTTTGATAAGTTTGATAAGTTTAATTGTAGGAGAAAGACTCGACTTTCACAGTGGTTTAAAAACAAAGGAAAAAAGAATATACAAGAGCGTGGGGTGGTGCCTATATAATAAAGATAATCCAACCGCAGCTACGGTAATTTTTTTTACAAAACAACCATCAAGTCAAAAATGAAAGAAAATTTACTTTTTTTAACTATAAAAAATTTATTATGGTCGGCTCTGGGCCCCTAAATGGCGTGGGCCCCCCCCCGCATTGCGGGGTCTAGCGGCACTGTAGTTCCGCCCCTGGTACGGTAGTGCGTTATAAAATTTTATATGGTGTGGGGGGGTGTTGTCGTCAATAAAAGAAGTCATCCTCCCTATGAAATGACGGCACAGTTCATCCTATCCTCCTGCCATAATAGTAAATTCTTAACTTATAACTGAGTTTGGACAATATTGGGTATCTTGGTGTGTGTGCTTATTGCATGTGAGTGTTCGTGTGTGTGTGGGCGTATTCGACACTGTGTGTGAGAGTGTGTGGATTGAAATTATGCTAGCTTATTTTATACATAAATCTCGTAAACACAATAGTAAAAATGCATATATTCATCATACCACAAAGTTATGTACTTCAAAAAGTTAATCTGCTACACTTTTATTGAACTCGTATTTTTTATGTACTAAGTAATGGATAAAAACATAGCAAGTAAAATTAATACTTATCTTACAGAATAAACGATTAGTGGTATAAGGATTCCGCTTTAAAATACAAACCAACTATTAGAACGTATTTGATTGGCTGACGAGTCACGATGCCGTCTATAATTAGATATTTGCGAGACAATGCGGTCTAGTCTAACAACCAAAACACCGCGTTTATCGGCCTGAATAAAAACCATCCAACCAATTTGTGTTGATCGGATTGAAATAAGAAAACGACGTGAAAAGGACTTTTATTGTTGTGTTGAAAGTTTCATCACCAGTCATACGATTGATCGCTGGAGCGGTTTTTGTCAGTTCGATAAAAAATAGAGCGATTTGTTTGTTTGTTCGTTTATACAGACAGATTTACCGCCGTACAAATAGAGGCCTAAACACTCTTATCTTCTATATAGTAATGTGCCCTATTGAGTTCATCTGTTTCTGTGTCATCGGAAGTTTGAAAGGATATTCTTGTTAGCACTATTATATATATATATATATATATATATATATATATATATATATATATATATATATATATATATATATATAGTCAGGTAAAGCAGGCAGAGGACTGCAGGACATCCTCGATATGTAAATTGAATGTTAGTTCTGCTTCCTCTAATCAGGTTTAAAAAAAAAGGGGGGGGGGGGTTGGGCGGTAGTTGTCTGAAATAAAACATTTTTGGACCAAAATTTCTATCTGACACTGCAGGCTGCCTTCCTGTAAATGTCAGTCAGTCAGTCAGTCAGTCAGACAGTCAGTCAGTGTTACTTTTAGGCATCTCTCTGGGGCAAGGTGACACCCCTGGTTCACGCCACCCCCACCCCTCCCCCTTCTCTGGGACGAAATAGAATTTTTTATATAGAAAATATGTACTTTAACCAGTGTCCGCCCCTCTCATGTTTCCAGTTCCCCTACCCGCTCGGTTTGAAAAACACTGCCCGAAAGAAACCCTAAAAAGTAAAGAATTATCTTTAGACCTAGCGATGAATTGGGCATGTAGAGCACATATGTTTTTTTGAAGGGAAAGTGTGGTCAGCCGCCTTTAGTTTCTCTAACATGTGTTAGGTACCCATTAGTGCTGGGTGGACTCAGGGACGTTGTGCTGTCTTGGATCCGGATGTGAACTCTAGATTTTCGAGGTTAGCAGGCTGCGTGCACACAGACACGTACAGACACACACAGACAAACACACAGACACAGACACACTGACACACAGACACACACACAGAGACACAGTCAGACACACAAACTGACACAGACACACACACATACACACACAGACACAGACGCAGACACACACACACACAGACACACCCATATAAAGCATAACAAATTTACGAACCTAAACTAAAAAGGACGCACGCCCTTTTGTTAGCAGCATTTGTAATTTGATTTTGCAGGGATCAGAGTTCTTCCAGGCATCTCTTCGGGGAAGAGGGGCAAAGCCCCCCCCCCCCCCAGAAGAAAGTCTACCGCCCCCCCCCCATACTAAATGGAATTTATATAGAAAATATATACTTTTAACAGTGTCTTCCCCCCCCCCCGTCCGCACCCCCCGAAAATTTTAGACCGCCCCC